TAAACATAAAAACATCACCAATGAATGCATGCCACCTACGCGGTGAGCATATTAACATGTGCTCACCGTGGGTAGGGAAGAATTTCTATATATAAGATACCCTTTACAGTAGGTCTTCTGTTAGGTTGCTTAATAGTAAGCAATAATACTTTTCGAACACATGTATATATATTCACAATTAATTGACATATTTTAAATTATAATATAAACAAATGTATAATATTATGTATGGTATAAACACGATTTTTTTAGAATATAAGCCTAACATCATATCCAAGGTTTTAAATAGCGAGCTAAAACGTTTATGGTACTGTAGCTATAGCGGAGCTATAGCGGAGATTTAGCGGGATTTAGCGGCTAAATTGCACGTGAATACAAATAGCGGCACGCTGCCAAAAAAAGCTATTTCTCAAATAGCGGCAACTTTAGCGAGCTATTTATTTCCTTGATCATATCTATTAAAGCATACTAGTACAACACCCGTGTATTACACGGGTGCTTGTTAAAAAATTTTAAAATTAATGAGAAAACTAAAAAATCTGGTTTACTTCTATACAAAAAATATATTACTCTATATTTTAGAATGATATGTATTACTTATGACTTACATGTGTTATATTATATTAGTTTTTATAACTTAAATCATATAACTACTTGAAATATAAATATATTAGTTGATAAATAATTTTATTTTTCTAATTAATATTAAAAATAATTTTATTATTGTTATAAAAATAATTTTTTTTATACATACAATATGGATGTTAAATCGAAGCTCATCAAAAGAAGATTAATTTGTTATATTACATATGTAAAATTGATAAAAAATACAAATGTTATTAACTTTTAAAATATATATACAATTCAATATTTATAATAATGAATGATTGTTGTGTACAAATTATTTTTGTTTTACCGAGCACCGAATCAAATAATTCGTTTCCCGGGTCGATCTCTCGAGGAAAACTGTTCGGAATTTAATATTGGTGTTGATAACATATAAAATGAAAATAAAGCCTAAACATTCTAATCAAGATGAATTGGATAATAATTAACTAAAATATCAACTAAGAAATAACATAAAACAATAATCTAGCTAAAAATATAATCGAGACAATAATAAAGAAGCTAGGGAATCGGGAATAAATCGCTTCCAGTTTTACACTCATTCAACGGCAATCAATAACTCGGTTAAGTAGTTCAACTAACCAACTCATTTAGCGGTTCAACCATACTAACTCTCGTAATATATGGAAAAACATAAATGAGCAAATTAACGAAACAATTAAAACGCATAGACAATACGTCTCCGAACATGTCTATTCTAAATGAGCCAAGTTCTATCAATTTCTCCCCTCTCGGTTATGAAATCAATTATTTTTACAACTCCTCTCCTCTCGGTTCTACAAGTTGTAATTCACAAAATTAACAAACTTTAACTTAACAAATCAATATCAAGCACAAATCAAAGTGTCACTCTTTGATTATATCATAAAATTAACCTAAGTGTCACTCTTAGGTTATAAAGATTTACCAAGTTTAATTTATCAATTCATGATTAAAACAACTCATCAAGATGGAGTTATCATCATGCATATAAACGAGATCAAACCGAAATGATTATCCCCTACCCCTATCTAAAAGATTAGCTACATATAAATAAATTCAACATAACAAAATATTTCTCCTAAATTAACCATTATGCATGAATTAATTTAAAGAGAAAGTAAACTTACATAACAATCTTC